CCCAACAAACAGCTCCAGACCTCAGACCTGGATGAGAAGAGGCCTGGGCCTGTCCCGGCCAAGCCGCCCAGGCTGAGGGAGGTCTTCCATCAGGACCCACGTATTACGGGTCCAGGGTCCCAGGAGGACACAGCCCTGACACCAGGGCCAGCTGAGCCCTCCCAGGGCCTAGAGCCTGTGGCACTGGCTCCCATGGAGGGGCTGGAGCAGGACGAACCAGGCTCGGCTGTGCAGGAGGGCCACCCCGGGGGAGCAGGAGACGCCCATGGCCTGGTCCTCAGGCCAGGTGGGCTGCCTGCCGTCCCCCACCAGAGTCTGGAAGAGGAAGGGAAGCAACTGCTCCCAGGTGGGCAGAACTTCAGTCCAGACCAGTCAGCGGAGGCTCACGTGGAAGCGGGGCGTTCAGCACTCCCCCGGCACCATGCTCCGTCCATCCCTCTCTCAGCCAACACGCCGCCAGCTCAGGAGGAAGCCCCAGCCCCTGGAAAACTGTCACCACCAAGGGCCTCTCCTCCCATAGGGGCTCAGCTGGGGGCTGGGGCAGGGCCCCAGGAGCCCACCAAAACCCTTCCCATCAAGGCTGAGCTGGAAGCCAGGCCCCCACCCAAGACCATGCGTGCAGAAGAACAAGCCCCTCCTCAACTCAGGGAGCCAGGTGCAGAGCACAGGCCCGTGGGCCCAGGAACGGACTCTGGAGAAGACCCCACGGTGGGCAAGCCTCAGGCCGACCCTGACTACCTCTTCCATATCATCTTCCTGGGAGACTCCAACGTGGGCAAGACCTCCTTCCTGCACCTGCTGCACCAGAACTCTTTCGCCGCTGGGCTGACAGCCACTGTGGGTAAGGGCCCGCTGGGGAGGGTGGCTGTGGAGGAGAGGGGCCCAGAGCCAGGGCGACAGGCTGGGGCAGGCCCAGAGTCACTCATCCTTGAGGAAGCTGCAGGTTCTGCCCCGAGCATGGCCTTGCATTAGACATTATTTTATATAGCCATAATCTTACTATTGCACTAATCGCCTCTAATTACAGGTAATTTGCTTTTTTTGCATTGATCTGATTAGCTTATAATGTGCCACATCAACAAAGCACCCTGCAATTTAGGTGCCAGTGCTAGGCCATGGCGAAACCAGTGAGTCTCCGCCCACGTGGCCGCAGGCAGGCCACCGCAGGGTCTGTGCTGGTTGGATTTGCTCAGGTCCGGGCCCAGGCCAGGCAGCCATGCTCTCCGCAGGACGCCACCTGGGGCAGGCTGAGTGTCATATATGGTTTGTGGAGTGTGGTCAGTTAGGAACCCAGGTGACTCAGTTCTAATCCCAGCACTGCCACTTACAAAGGTTATGATCCCGGACAGACTGTGGAACTCCACTGAGTCCCCAGTCCTCATCTATACAGTGGGGACACCAGCAGTACTGACTTCCTGGAGCAGTTGTCAAGATTAGTCCAGTGAAGGGACCAGCAGATGGCATAATGGCTACATCGCTGGATTTCCATGTAGGCGACCGCGGTTCGAGTCCTGGACCCGGTGGCTTAAACTCACACTGGGCACGTGTGCGTGTGTGCCCAGGATCCCAAGAGGAGAATGGAGGAGAAGGGATTGAGGCGTGGCCATCCCCCCTGGGGGGTGATTTCTCACTTTCTGTCTCTTTGTCTCTTTGTCTTCTGGTGAGTGCACGCCCCCTATAGCAAAAACCTCTCCAAAAAAAATAGTTGAGTGAATACATGTCGACCACTTAGTGTAACATCAGACACGCAGTGAGTGCTCAGTGAGTATTAGTTGTTATCCTTGTCATTATTTTTTTTTTAATTATTATTTTTTTTTGAGAGGTTTTTCTTATTGGGCGCGTGCGCTTTCCAGAAAGACAGAGAGACAGAGAGACAGAAAGCGAGAAATCACCCCCTAGGGGGGATGGCCACGCTGCAGTCCCTTCTCCTCCATTCTCCTCTCAGGATCTTGGGCACACACGCACACACGCCCGGCGTGAGTTTAAGCTACTGGGTCCGGGACTCAAACTGCAGTTGACTACATCCCATGTCCAGCGACATAGCCATTACGCTAACTGCTGGTCCTGCCATTATTGTAAGGAAATGTTTCAGAGGGTCTCAAGCGGCTCTGTGAGAAATGGTCCAAAGCAGAAAGCCTCCATTCCCTAAAAGTTTCAGGCTATACAGCCCTTGAACTGTATACAAAGCTGCAGAAAAGCTTTGTTATGTGGTACAGGGAGGCTTCGAAAAGCTCATGGAAAATGGAGTTAAAGTAATTTATTTGGGTATAAAAATTTGAAGTCCATGAATAATGTTTTTTCATAATATGCATTTTTATGAACTTTTTTTTTAAGAGAGGTTTTTGCTATAGGGCACGTGTGCTTACCAGAGAGACAGAGAGAGACAGAGAGACAGAAAGTGAGAAAACACCTCCCAGGGGAGATGGCCACACCGCAGTCCCTTCTCCATTCTCCTCTCAGGGTCTTGGGCACGCACACGAGTACACTCCATCTGAGTTTCAGCCGCCGAATCTGGGACTCAATCCGCAGTCGACTACGTGGGAGTCCAGTGACATACCCATTATGCCATCTGCTAGTCCTGAACTTTTTTCTTTCCTTAATGCTGAGGCATGTGTATACACGGAGCTGGGGGAGTCCTCTCCATGGGGTCTGGTCAGGCCACAATTCTGTTCATTCTGATTCTTCAGTCTGTCAGGATCCTGGGCACCTGGCGTGTTTCTCAAGCTGCTGGGGCCAGAACTCAAACCCGGGTGGGTCACGTAGAACCCCGCTTCTTCTGTGTAGCACTCAGCACTGCGCGAAGGGGCAGGCCCTCGATCAAACGCTTTAAAGACCTCTCTCTGGAATTTTACCATCACCTCCTTATTCTCAGGGACAGACAGGATCTGGAACTATGATCACAGGAAGGGCTCAGGTTCAGGGAGATAGTCCACCACAATTCAGAAATTACCACCAGACCAACCCCACGACCATGACTAGTGGCTAAGGGTGCTGGATCCCACATGGCTGACTGTGCAGTTCGAGGTCTGGGCTCAGCAGCTTGAGAAACACGCTGGGCATGTACGTGTGTGTGCCCCGAACTCCGACAGGATGGCGACATAGAGGAGAAGGGACTGGGGTGTGACCATGCCCCATGAGAACTGTTTTTCTCCCTCTCCCTGTTTCTCTGTCTCTGGGGGGAAAATGACCACCTCCCACCTCATTTCCTCTTCCCAGCCATCTGCAGAGTGGGTCTTCTTAAATTGCCACCTTGCAGATAAGGAAAGGAAGGCTCAGAGAGGCGCAGCGACTTGCCCGCAGCCTCACAGCAGTGCAGGGACGACTCAGGAGATCTCCCCGGAAGCCAGCGCTCCTTCCACCCGCTACTGCCCACTTGGAACAGGAAACATGCGTGCAAATAATGAGGGAGTGAAACAAAGTTTTATCAAAGTAAAATAATAAAGTCTGCTTTCTGGGTGACCTGAGGAATAGACATTGCCATGCAGCTGGGAAGGCGAGGTGCCTTGGGTTGGCAGGCCCCTCGTGGTGTGGGGTACAGCCTGGGGGCTGTGCTGCAGGGGGTTGGGAGGATCAAAAGACTTCTGTCTAAGGTCCGGCCCAGTTTCTGGTGGGTGCTGGGGAGGTGATCATTTTTATCACAGTGAGTTCTCACCTTCCTGAACCCCAGCCCCTCACATTTCACAACCCGACACCTCCCTGTGGTCACAGTTCCAGACTCTTTCTGTCCCTTTGGAATATGGAGGTGATAGTGAAATATCCAGGAGGCTTGGAATCTTTGGGGTGCACCTTCTGACATCCCACCTCTGCCAATACCCCTGTGCGCTGGGTGGTCAGGGAAGGCTTCCTGGAGGAAGTATGCCTGTGAGTGTGGACAGTACTTGGAGAACAGGGGAAGGCTAGCAGCCATGGCTTCATCCCATCATGGTTGATGTAGGGGGCAGGTCTGGGCTAGAAGTCCTGGATGATAACTTGAAAATAGACCTTACCAGGAACAGCAGTTAGCGTAATGGCTACGTCGCTGGACTCCCATGTAGTCAACTGTGGTTTGAGTCCTGGACCTGGCTTAAACTCACACCGGGCATGTGTGTATGCATGCCCAAGATCCCAAGAGGAGAATGGAGGAGAAGGGATTGTGGCGTGGCCATCCCCCCAGGGATGATTTCTTGCTTTCTGTCTCTCTGGCGAGGACACACACCCTATACCAAAAACATCTTCCCCTCTAAAAACAGAAAAGAAAATAGACCTTACCCTCCCCGTGTGTCCTAGGCGTGGATTTTCGGATCAAAAACCTGCTGGTGGACAACAAGTGTTTTGCGCTGCAGCTCTGGGACACAGCCGGCCAGGAGAGGTAACGGGCTTTGTCTGTGTCCGTTGTGACAGGGCCCTGGTGGGGGGCAGGGGCAGTGCTGGCAACATGGGCGAGAGCCAACCACGTGTAACTGAGGCAACCGTCCCTAAGGATTCAGGAAGGAGGGCAGGGGGGAGGAATTGAGCCCGAGTGGAGGAGGAAGGGATGGCAGGTCCCACGGACCAGCAGGACACATGGTAGGGCTGTCCCAGCTGGGCCCTTGGGGACACACCCAATCACCTGTCCTGAAGATGCCCCCCTCTTAGTCGTGAGTGAGGAAAGCGTAAAAAGCACATCTTCGACTCTGCGGTTCCGCTTCTAGAAATCCGCTCTGGAGATACTCAGACATGACGATGACGAAGGACCAGGACCGCTCATAGCAACATTGTTTGCTAAGAACGCTGAGAACGTTTCCCTAGCAAGGAAGCGCTAGAAACAGCCTAAATGTTCGGCAGTAACGGAGTGGTTAAATAAATTAGGTTCTATCCACACAACTGAAAAAAGACCGAGGACTTTCTTTTTTCTTTTTTTTTAAGAATTATTTTTATTTAATTGTATTCATTGTCATTATTTTATTTTATTTTATTTTAAAAAGTTGACCAGAGAGAGAGGGAAAATGAGAAAACAGTCTACCAGGTCTGGGACTCGAACCATAGTCACCCACACGGGAGTCCAGTCACCTTAATCACCAAGTCACCTGCTAGCCCTAGAGGACTTTCTTTACATACTGATAGGGAAATATCTCTAAGACATCTTATTAAATGAAAAAAGTGAAAATGCAGAATACTGAATATTAATGAATACAACGAGTACTGTATACTGTCTTTATGTAAAACAAGGAGGAAAGATGTGTGTTTATGTGTGTATACAAGGGGACTCCAAAAAGTTCATGGGAAAATGGAATTAAAACAAAAAAAATAGGGGGGCATAGCAGATGGTGTAGTAGTTATGGCCCACTTGGTCTGAGTCCTAGACCTGGTGGCTTGAAACTCACGCCGGGCATGTGTGTGTGCTCAAGATCCCGGGAGGCGATTGGAGAAGAAGGGATTGCAGCGTGGCCATCCCCCCCAGGATGATTTCTCATCCCCGAGGGGGTGCTTTCTCGCTTTCCCTCTCACTGTCTGTCTCTCTCACTCTAGTGAGTGCACGTACCTGAAGGCAAAATCCTCTAAAATAAATAAATAAATAAAAACAGGGCCAGCAGGTGGCATAGAAGTTAAGGCAGCTGGGTCCCCTATGACAACTTCGTGGTTTGAGTCCCAGACCGGAAAATCATGCCAGGCACATGTGCGTGCGTGCGTCCCACATGACAACTTCGTGGTTTGAGTCCCAGACCTGAAAATCATGCCAGGCACATGTGCGTGCGTGCCCTAAAGAATTCCAACAGGGGAATGGAGAAGAAGGGATTGTGGCATGACCACCCCCCTGGAAGGTGATTCTCACTTTCCCCTCTCTCTCTGGCAAGTGCTCATGCCCTATGGAAAACTAAAAATAAGTTAAAAAAATAAATAAACTTTATTTCTTAATGTAAGTTTTATCAAATTCAAGACAATGGTATCAGCCATTTGGTCCCTCCCTAAAGAACCGAGGGCCCTGGGAGTTTCAATGCAGTCCTTTTTTACATTATTAACTGAAAACAAAAAGGATACTCTTTAAAGATTTTTTAAAAAAGAATTTTTTTATTTAGTTTTATTAATTATTATTGTTATTTATTTTTCTAAATTTACTCTAAGGCATGTGTGCTCACCAGAGAGAGACAGAGTAGAAAGAGGAATGAAGATGGGGAAAGCAAGAATGGATGTGGAACTCGAACCACGGTCAGCCATGTGGGAGTCTAGTGCCTTAACCACTATGCCACGTGCTGGCTGCCTTAAAGGTGTGTGTGTTTTGTTTTTGTTTTTGTTTTTGTTTTTGTTTTTGTTTTGTTTAATATTAGACAGTGAAGAGAAGTTAGAAGGAGCCAAATCAGGACTGGAAGGTAGATACCCTTTGAGATTCTTGCAAAATTGCCCTCGTTGGCTGAGATAAATGAGCGGGAGCATTGTCTTGGTGGAGAAGGACTCCCTGGCGATGCTGTCCTGGGAGTTTTTCTGCTAAAACGTCTGCTGACTTTCTGAAAACACTTCTCTATTAAGCAGAAGTTATAGACTTCCTTTGGCCCTCCAGAAAGTCAACAAGCAAAACGCCCTGAACATCCCAGTAACCCGTTGCCCTGCCCTTTGCTCTGGGCTGGTCCCTTTTTGCTGACCAGACCCTTCCACCTCTTGGTAGCCTTCACCTGATTGTGCCTCGTCTTCAGGCCCCTCCTGGTACACCCATGTCCCTCTCCTACAGCACTCTGAGGAAATGCTTCAGGATCTGGATCCCACTTGTTCACGGTTTCCGTGGCAATTCTGCTCTTGTCTGCAGCCAGTTCTGGTGCAACAGCTCTGGCACACATAGAGCGGAAAGTTCGTTCAGTTTGTTTCTCAGTCAGGGCTGGGGCTGAACCAGTTGGGATGCCTCCGGTTCGGCGGCTGTTTCGGCTGCTCATGGTGGTCCTCTTTCATTAGGGCAAGTGAGCCAGATTCGTTTTCCCTCACAAACTGATGTGGATGAGCTGCTACTGCGGAGTCAGCTCAACATCATCCTGCCTCTTCTTAAACTGAGTTCTCCGTTTGCCATTATTCCCGTGAACTTTTCATAAAGCACCAGTGATTTTTGCTATTCTTCTACCTGAGCTTCCACATAAATGTGATGTTTATTTTTGCTTTAATTTGAGCAGAATTCATATTGTACTAAGAGGGGTTCTTTTCTATTTTTGAGAGAGAGATTTTTGCCGTAGGGTGTGTGAGCTTGCTGAAGAGACATGAAAAGACAGAGAGACAGAAAGTGAGAGCTCACTCCCCAGGGGGGATGGCCATACTGCAATCCCTTCTCCTCCATTCTCGTCTCAGGATTTTGGGCACGCACAGACACGCACCCGGTGTGATTTTTTTTTAATTATTTATTTATTTAATTCCATTTGTTGTTATTGTTTTTTTAATTTGACCAGACAAAGACAGACAGAGAGAGAAAGGGAAAGCAAGAGAGTAAGCTGCCAGATCCAGGACTTGAACTGCAGTTGGCCATGTGGGAATCCAGCACCTTTAACCACCATACCACCTGCTAACCCCCATCTGGTGTGAGTTTTAAGCCACCAGGTCTGAGATTCAACAGTGGACTACAGGGGAGTCCACTGACATAACCATTATACCATCTGCTGGTCCCTCTCTTTTTTTTTAAGTTAGACTTCATTTCTTAAGAAGTATTTATTTAATTTCATTTATTATTATTATTTTAAAATTTACCATACGTTGTATGCACTCACCAGAGAGAGACAGAGAGAGAGGGAAAGTGAGAAAGCAAGCTGCCAGGTCTGACCCCGTCTAGGACTCGATCCACGACCAGCCATGTGTGATTCCAGTGCTTTAACCACCTTGCCACCTGCTGGCCCAGGGGCTTGTGTCAAAGTGATGTCTTATCCTTCTAAGTGCCTCAGACGAGATCCAATGCGGACATGTAGCAAGTTAGTGTAAGTTCATTTCGGTTCA